CAATTATAAAAGAACTAGTTCATGTAAATACAAACCACATATTTATCATTTAAGAAATGTTTTTGACCAAATTTTTCTACTCATACTTTATTTTTATTTTTAAAGTGACGACTTAGATTGCTGAGATAAGGAATTTAAAATTATCTTCAAGACATGTCGATGCAAAGGATAGCGCACTGTACTCAGATTAAGATGGTTTTTAAAAAACGGTCGCTTTTGTGTTACATATAATCTTATAGCTATTGATATGCTATAAGTTGCTCCTCCCCCCCCCCCCTTTTTCCAATTCTTCAAAGTATAGAATTTTTGAGCTTCCAAGAAAAACACTTTCGGCCGTCTACTTGATTTGCAGCTTCTGTGGATCGCTGAGCAAATTCTTTACTCTTATCATCTATAAATCAGTTTGGTTTAATGTACCTTCTTTTCCTCCCATCGAGGACGTTGAGACAGTTTACCTGTTATAGATTAGAGTATTTACTATATCTTTGAATAATATACCTTATTAAAAAATGCACTCTAATTTACTAAGATTCCTGTGCAAGATTCACAATTGTCCACTTTACAGCTTATTATTACCAAGGATTGTTCTTTAAAGGATAATTATTGCAACGCTTAACCCTTCCAGCACCATGCGTTTATATTTTCAGCAGCATTTGTACCTCCCTTCGTCCCAATAGCGTATATTCTCAGTTTCGAGGGTACCGAATTTGCGCATTTTTCGAAATTAGCGAAATTAATTAAACTTTGATTTTCATAATATTTGTACATTTACCTTTAAACGTTGTTATATGTTATTATCTAAACCTCATTACAAAGATACTACATCACTCTTTAGAATACATGCCTCTTTTTTCTGAAATACTGCTGTATTGGCTGGGACTTGGGTAAGGGAGTGCACAAAAAATGGCTGGGGCTGGAAGGGTTAATACAGATAAGTCTACAATCATAGAAGGAGAGTAGGGTTACGTTTGTTGTCAGCTTTTCCGATTGTGGGATGTCGTGCGTGGAAGACACGAGAGTTTACGAAACGAGATTGTATCTGACTATTATTATTATTATTCATCCCCAAAATACTTGCAGTTCGCACTGCTCAAAGTTTGTGTAACACCACAGCTGTAGTGAAGCTTAAAAAGTCATGATTCTGGGAAAGGTAGTAGTAATAATCTCAGGGGAGCTGTTGGTATAAGGTTAGGTAACAAAAGCAACATGGCTTCAATTGATGATCCTAAGTAAACGATAACTAGGTAAATGTCTAGCTGAGGCCTCTCTTAAATTTTTAAAAATATAATCTTCTTTTGTTCATGACGTGACGGCCTCTCAAATTTGGACCCCCACAAAGAGTGGAGATCCTATCAGATATTATGCGTAGTAGGTCAGCTAAACTGCGAATGGAGACTTCGGCCGGACAAAGACTATGCAGGGTTCAAGGACCGTGCGTTTAGATAAATGACGATTGTTTAAATTCAAATGTAAACATTCCTGCACGTTGCAGCATCACCTTTGAAGGGTCGTACCTAACTGCAGTGTGCTTTCAGCCTTTTTAGACTCTCAAACGTACACGAGTGTCATAAAGTTAGCTGCTCTGAAAGAGAAACTAGCACTCCATTAAAACGTGCTGCGCCATTTTAAAGAAGTGTCATAAGTAAGTCAAGAACCAGATTCATAATGACTACGCCCTCTGTACCCTCCTCTAGGTGGCCTCTGTTTTATTGCAATGGTTTGACACGCTCGTCGATTACGTGGAGGTAAAACACACAGTTGTTTCCCCTTTCAGCTCATCTCCCTGTCTCGCTTGTAGCATACCACTACAACCATAGCGCCATTCTTTTTACTTCCACGGTATAATATACAATTAGAGTTAACCTCAACCAACCTACCCATATAACAGCCAAGCATATTGCTTATATTAATCATAGTTTCATAATCTTTAGATTATATTTATCACATTTAACCCTCTTTTCAATTCATGGAAATACACCCTGTTTGACATGCAATACAAGGTTGTTTACTCCCTGTCCAACTTTAATATTATCCCACTTTTGAAACAGAAAGCTGCCAATCAGCGATGCAAATGTTTATTTGATGTATACTCTTCTGTCAGAGGCAGATTTAGTTGAATGAGGAAATGCTTCTAATGAAGGTGAAGACACAAGTCTCCAGTGCCCATGCATACAAGTGCAGATCATGCTTCCATGCCTACAGATTGTCAGTCAATCAGAAAAATAAAAATAAAATAACAGCTTTCCTGGTTTTTGAAAAATAAAACTGCAAGCTTCGTGAGAAAAAAAAATGTTACCTAAAATAATGTAGAAAAACCACCGAGTTTCAAATTATAATCAAAATAATTATTTGAGGTAGAGAGAATTTGTTAACGAAAATGTTTACAGAATTAATGTCAACAGAGTAGTTAATTTTTTCCTAGTGCTGGTAACGGAATGAAGACAGAAAAATATTTGCATGATAAATATTGAAACTTATATTTTTAAGACAAACGAATTATTAACCACAACGTAACCTTTGAGTCATATAATTTCCATACACATACTCCACGTTTTCATGTGCAGTGACTACAGAGGAAATTCAGCGTCTTCTTTTGATTTCAGTTTAAATGCAGTGGTATCATGGAACTGATTCATGAGGCGAACACTTTGTGCAGATATGGCATCTCTATTATATTATTGTACACCACAGACGATTCGAATTAAGACGAAGTCGAAAGTTTAAATTGCCCGCGATGACGACAACTCAACACTGAAATAATCTTTAAAAATCATCTCATCAGTAGCGCTGTCAATGGATAGATCTATATCAATGTCGAATAACATCATGTTTTACCATGGATGAATTTTGACTACAATAGTATCGTTAGCACACTCTATAATTAGCTTCTTCATCAAGTGCCAGAAGTGCCACAAACACACATATGCGATTATGGTTCTCCATTCATTCCTTTGCTCGGACGCTCTGAACCCCCCCCCCCCCCCACCCCCACCCCGCCAAAATAAACCCAACTACAATATTATCCTGATCTTTCCCAATTACCAGTCTGTTAAGGCTCTCCAAGTAGTTTGCTCTATACTGAGCACGATAAACCTATTGGACATCTGCGATTAAGGTTCTCCATTCATTCCTTTGCTCAGACGCTCTGAACCCCCCCCCCCCACCCCCCCACCCCCACCCCACCCGCCTAAAATAGTACAAACTACAATATCCTGATCTTCCCAATTACCCATCGTTTCGGCTCTCCAAGTAGGTTGCTCTATCTATACTTACCATGATATAGCTATTGGTTATCATTAACCCTTGACCTCCCTCGCCCTCTCCGCTTCACTAACAGGTTGCCTCTCTCCTCATGGTGCTGGGCTGCACGGCTCTTGCCAAAGCTGAGGTACATGACGTCTCAGTCTCATTCCACTTGCCCATTTGTTTCTTTAAAAAAAAATTATTATTCAAATGTTGTAACTGTGTGCCTCTTGTATTCGTCTTTACTGCTATTGAAAACAGTTTTTTTTCTTCCGTAATTTTGTTACGATTCTCATTTATTTATTTATTTATTTTATTTATTTATTTATTTATTTATTTATTTATTTATTTATTTATTTATTTATTTATTTATTTATTTATTCATTCATTTATTATTCATTCTTTTATTTATTTATTTACTTATTTATTTATCCATTTATTAATTTGTTGATATATATTTGTATTTCTTTTATTTCTTTTATTATCTTTATATATATATATATATATATATATATATATATATATATATATATATATATATATATATATATATATATAAAAATATATATATAAAGTCATTTGTTCATTTATTCATTTATTTTTTGATTTGTTGGAATTATTGTTGTTTTGATTCAAACAGACTGAATTCAAAGTTCCAATGTCATGAATCATCAATAGCGTTATTTGACTTACATTATGATAAGCTTGCTACTGAGTCTGTTTTTCACCTATCCAAGCATACTGATTCAGCGACTCATCCTACTCAAAGCAGTGTACCAACCACTCTGAATGTTTTTTAGATTAGTGCTCGTTCTCTTGCCCTTCTTCTTAAAAATAAGTCGAGAGAAATTTTGGCAGTGTTTTTCCAGTCACGCTGACATGGCCTCTCCCCCTTACGTCCCATGTGAAAAAGATAATGTGCAATATTAAATAAGATGATAACGAAAGAAAAAGTGAACGACAGAAAAGAAATAGGAAGAAACGATAAATTAAATAAATGAATAAAAGATAAACTCAAGCAATCCTTATACCAGCTTATCGAACCGTCAATAAGTCAATAAGTCAATCAATCAATCAATCAATCAATCGATCGATCAGATAATCCATACGTAATTGAATGCTCATTTATTACTAAGAGAATTAAAGCTGATACATTTCTTTCATTCTTTGCTATATTTAGTGTCTATCTTGTATATGCTTTAAAAGGTATAACAGATATACATCCTTTTGCATATCATATTTATTCCCTATAGTCAACCTTATATGTCAACGTTGTTTTGTGTTGTGTGCAATAGAGTAGAGAAGGTGAAATACAGTTTACTAACTATCTGTATCTTGGTGTGTGTGTGTGTTGTTGTTTTTTTGTGTGTGTTACGTTCAATATTTTGGGACTTGGAAACAGCCGAAACCAACCTCTCCTTTTTCTGTAGCTTGGTTTGCTTCTGGGGGTTTTTTTTAGTAGAGATTTTACGGCGCTCACAACTGCACAAGGTCATATGAGCGCCAGAAGATTTGTGGTGTTACAAGAGAGTAACGAACAAAAAAATGAAGAAGGGGAGATAAGGACGATTGATGTTTGATAGGAAAGAAGAAGCAAACCACACTAAAGCACCCGCAAACCCACCACTTTGCTTCAGTAAAAAGGTGATTCATGTCATAGACCTGTATAACATGTATAGTTTCCTAGACCGTCAACTTTAACGTATTTCCGGTACCCTATCATCATCATCATCATCCAGTGCCAGATCTGCGTCAGACATCGGCGATCATGGTTTTCCATTCATTCCTTTGCTCGGATGCTCTAAAAAAAGCTACGTTTCCCTGATCTTTCCCTGTTACCCATTTGTTTAGGTTCCCTAAGTATGTTGTTCTGG